CCCCCCCCTCCTTGAAGTCCCCCAAAGAATAACTATCCCCCTGGGCAACAATCTTCTAATTATTTATTTTATAGAGGCTTTGCACGATCGCATGATGGTAGCCATCACAGGAGGCAGGAACAAATTGAATCTGATTCACATGAGAAATAATTTGGTTTCCCAGGGAAAAAGACTATTGTTGTGCCTCCTGTTATGGCTGCCATCACGTGATAGTGCAAAGCCTCTTTTGATTAGTGTGAGTTTTAATTAGGGGTACATCCATTTGTGCCAGTCCTTTTTACCATTTCCCTATTTATTTACTACAAAAATCACCAAACTTTGGAATATTCCTTAGTTTTCTTATGACAGTCACGCCCACTTTTTTATCATTGCCCCATCCATTTTCATTGATACATTCCAAACATTCCTTTTGTATGTAATTAAAATTGAGTCAAGAAGTCAGTATGCTACAGACTATATACTTGGAATGTTTTAAATGTATCAATAAAAAGGGTGGGACAATCGTACAATAAAGAGTGGACATGACAGTTATAAGAATACTATGGCATATTCAAAGTCTCCAAATTTTCCATAGTAGACATCCAAGTAACAGGCAATTGATTCATAAAGTAATTGACAGTCAAGTAATCGTTTTTTAATAGGCAAAAATTTATATTGTTATGTTAAATGTTTTGTAGATGGGTATGCTTACTATGAAGAGTGGAGCACTCTTGTCCAAAAAGCAGATGAAGAAGCAAAACAATTATTAGAAAGCATTGGAAGAAGATGTCAACAAAAAAAGGTAATAGGCCTTTAACGACAAGTGGTCACATGACCAGTCCCCCCTTAAAAAGAGCAGTTGGGTCAAAATGAACACCAGAAATGGAAAGGGGACCTCAATATTAATGAGAAGACAATGTTTGAGCTCATAAATTATGACTAGAGGAGAAATGGCATGGGATATAAAATCTAATATCTTATAAATAAGGCTTCGTATGGAAAAAATCTCTGGATAGCAAAATATATTATTGCTATAGAGTGTACTTCAAAAAACTTATCACTTTGAACTCAAACAAAGAATCTTATTCTCATTACAAAACATTATGCCCAAGTGGATTTGGCCAACCATTTAACTATATAACTAAGATCTCATGATTTCCACCTATATATACACCAAATCGAAATTATATGGCAACCAATTAGAAAAACTATTGCTCTGGAATGACTAGCCTCTCATAGGCATGTGAAAACACTTTCATTTTTCAATAAGAACACAAGGCCAGTCGGTCCAGAACAAAACTTATTCATATTGGTAGCCATATTTTGCTTTGGTTTATGTATTTGTGTTGCATATTGTATATAATTTAAATGTTGTTAATCGTATGTGTGCTTGCAGCTTAAGTTCAAGCTGTTTAAAGAAAATGGAAAAGCTGGAGAGGTCATCTGCAAATTTGCCCATGATGAGAAAGCCAACATGATTGTCATGGGTTCACGTGGTCTGGGTACCATTCGCCGTACATTTCTGGGTAGTGTGAGTGACTACTGTGTCCATCATGCTCACATACCAATTGCAGTGATACCCCCACCGCCGGAACATTCTAAAGCAGAATCCTGAAGCATTAATGATCTCTGCATCATCACAACTAAATTATATTGCCTCAAATATAAAGTATGATGCACATTAATTATGCACTCATATAAAATATCTATATATACAATATGCAATTAAAGCCTTGACCCATTGGGATATATCAAGGGCGGATCCAGCCAAAATTTTAGGGGGGGGGCTAATTGAGTTTAGGGGGGGCTAATTGAGTTTCTTTCGTCAACATGACGGAAAACAATATAAAAAAGCATCATTTTTTTCTGCTGAAAGGGGGGGCCCTCAGCCACCCTTTGCCCCCCTGGATCCGCCATTGTATATATGAAAATACTGGTATATGAAATAGAGCTTGTGAAAAGCGTTCCATGATAGTGTCTGTGTACAATTTAATTGGCTGGGTTGTTTTTGATCAATGTGATTAGTCTGGCAGTGCCATGACCTTGGCATTACCTTACTGTGCCACTACCATGATCGTGCCACGACCTTTTCACAGTCATACGACAAGTGCTCTATAGAGCAGATGCATTTTACATCATAGCCGCCATCTTGGTTGATGGTAACAAAGCATTCCTCATTAGCTTCTCTTGTTAGATCAAGCAAGATGGTGGCTGTTTCATTGTTATTCATATCTCAAAGGGATTTTGAGTCACATCGCTCACACTCTATATAACTATTTTTAAAATGTTTGAATACTACATACCAAATAGTGTATTTCAAGACTGAAATGCATTTTGGTTCTTATGTAATATTGTCTAAAGTAAAATAAATAAAAATTATTGGTTTTGTTTTTAGTGCATTCTATACAGAACAATATACTAGCTACACTTAAGAGAGCAAATTGCTCTATTTTTACTTTATTCAGTATCAGTACTCAGCATTTTTTAGGCCCCGTCCACACGTATCCGGGATTTTTTGTATCCGCAAATTATTTTTTGCAGGCTGGTCTCTCCCCTGATGCTTTCGGCTAGAACATTTTCTTGCGTAATTCGTACACCCAAGGGCAGAAGGATTTAATCGCCGTCAGATCCGAAGTCCATACGCCGCCTCAGCTCTGCGGATGTCTCGGGGGTATGGCACAGTGGAATCGCATAAAAAAACTTTTTTTTATTAGTGGGTTCGAATCCCGTCTTGTCCACATAAAATGTTTCTTTTTTAATCCTTTTATTTATTTATTTATTTTTAATTAGATTTAAATCTTCAACAATAAGGCAATCTTTTAAGTGAAAAAATTTTTATTCCTATTCGGTTGCTTATAAGCCTGTACTAGTTCGATCAGACGTTATCAGTCATATAAGCAACATCGATCCGCGAAAAGTAGACCTATGCTTTCCTATCTTTACTGGCAAAGTTTACTGACAAGACCATTGACTGCACTTGGATCATCCTATGGCGCCCGCAAACGATTATTGGGTGGTGCCGTGGAGACTCCTGGGTGCTATTGCACTATTTTGGTGATTCTGACAGAGAACATTGGGATGTTTGATTTTGTTACGTCATAGCGCAAGATCAAATTCACAAGTAGTGTGACATGCACAACGCAAAACTGTTTATTGTGGCCTAAAAAAGGGCAGGACCTGCAAATATTCATGAATATTTAATGAGGAGAAACAAAGGAAATCACTACTGTGACGGTGGTTTGGAAATGTGTTCTTAATTTGCATTAAATTTCGTAAACTTTTTCTTTGATTTTCTCCAAGGAATATTCATTAGTTTGAGAAGTAATTTCAAACACTTGAGAGAGTTCTTCCTCCGATTTCCAAACACCTCGGCTGCGCCTCGTTTTTTCAACTCACTTTTCGGTGTTTGGAAATCGGAGGAAGAACTCTCTCGCGTGTTAGAGAACACCTTAAGGGAGAAGATCATCTTAGACAAGTTAAACGAAATCATTCTTTTCTTTTCTCATATGGCATGATACAGGCAACCCAGTGAACGCCTGTAGGGCGTCTTGTCTGACTGGATGAAAGCCATGTATATATTTGTATATATAATATTATAAACAGCTGATTGCAATCCTAGGGAGAGGCTGGATTCTACCTGGACCTGGCCTGATTCACAGCTCCTATCCATTTAATTATTTGGGTTGGTTGTATCACAAGTTTAAATCCTCTGGTTTAAAGCATTTCTGACTCGTTAACATATCTTCATTATGTCTAAAAGAAGGGTTGTACTTGCAATTGACAACAGTTCCTGCAGCAAGGAAGCATTTGATTGTAAGTGTGTGAGAATTTTAATTAAAGCTGTTATTCAAGTTTGTCACCTTCAACGTACAATCTCAACACCTCATATAATGCTACAAGATCCTGTATTGACGGTTTAATATTTAGCAAAAAGTGCTTATATCGAATGGACACGAATGGACATTACATCGGTCTATTTCTAAACGTAAGCTTAATTTAATAAATATATTCGCAATATCCGTCTTGCTACTATCTAAACCTAATAAGATGACGATAAGTAAAAGCTCTTTTAGCAGATCAACAGCTTTTCGTCGAAGTACATAATGATTACAGAAAATAGCCAAAAAAAAAAGCAAATCCTTTATCAAGGATGTATAACCTTGAAATATTTTTAGGTAAAAATTATGGGGCGCCTAAAGAGTAGTATTCCAAATAAGATTAATTATTGCATGTAAAAACGCTTATTTAAATATTTTATACAGAGCAAAGGATTTAGTATTATGATTTATGAGTTAAAAGAATTTTTTTTGCATGCACAAATAAGCTTAAATCTCATATTAATGATTTTGCATTCATAATGATATAATGTTAACTACTAGATTTACACAATATACACAAAATTTTTTCTAACGGATCGATTTATCTAAACGCGCACGTGGCACTAGCTAAATTCGCTTCGTAACAGGTATCAAACGCTTGCATTGATAATTATTGCTCGATAGAGCTTCTTTTTAGGGATGATCTCGCTCTTTATAACGTGTGGACCTGGTCTAATAAACCTTAGATATGCCTGCCTAGAAACTGGAAACTGGAATGTCCGGAATCTTGAATCATTACACGGAATTCTTCGATTGCTCATCGTGTGCATCATCGTAGCCTCTTGGGGGAGTGCCATTTAACAAAATATTTTTTATTAGCATTTATTGTAATAGTGGCACCATAATGGCCACCATGTTTTAGTCTTTTGACTCTCTTGGGAATACTTGCAACCCATCAATAGATTAAAGGACCATTTAAAATTTATGGTTTGGGGGAAATCAGAATTTGGAGACTGTCAACTTGAACACCCAGGGGGAGGACTCCCTTATAAGAGGGGGCGGGGGTCCTCGTCGGAAATTCCGAAAATGACCCCTAAAAGGGACCTGTATTTTGGGATGATGGGCATGGCAGTGATGTAATTTCACCCCTAAGAGGGACCAATCAATAACACATTTTTTTGTTTGGTTTCTCGATTATATTTGCATCAAACGCTGTCTGCTCTAACGTCGTCATATACAAATCGCTTGCCTTTTTGTAGATGTAATACCCTAAAAGGGACCACAAAATTCAGTTGGTGTGCATTCCCGTCGTTATCACCCTAAGCACAACCCTGATTTCAAACCCTAAAAGGGACGACAAGGACCCCTGCCCCCTTTCATAAAGGAGTGTCCCCCCTGGGCTTGAACACTGTGCTTTAACATATCTGTTGGGGGGGGGGGGGGGGGGGGGGTTGGGAACACAGTTTTGGGATGCATGACTATGATAAATACATGTACATATTCATATATTTATGTACCAACACGGGTTGTTTTAATCATTTTTACTCATAAATGTTTTGGTTTACTTTCATCACACAGTCTACTGCAATAATTTACATCGGCCAGATGACATTCTTCTTATCATTCATTCTTTTGAATTGCCGTCCATGCCAGCTGTACCTTATCCTTGTAAGTATGATATTTAGTATGATGTTGCGAGCCCTCTTCCCCCTCTTTCCCCACCCCACAGCCCCACTAACACTAAACTCCCACTCCACTGGGCTGCAACACGAGCTAGATACTTAAAGCCTTTTCATATCATAATAACTCTTATTACTAGATGGGTATTCCTACTATGAAGATTGGCGCAGTATTGTCCAACAAGCTGATGAAGAAGCAGTAGCTTCGTTAGAAAACTATGGAAGAAAATGCCAGCATAAGAAGGTAATTGAATCGCAACTGAATTATTTTCCATTTAATCATTCCATGTTTAAATTTAAAGAGATTTTTAATGTTATGCTTAACAGATTGAGTTCAAGCTCTTTAAAGAGGGTGGAAAGGCTGGAGAGGTCATCTGCAAATTTGCCAAAGATGAAAAAGCCAACATGATTGTCATGGGTTCACGTGGTCTGGGTACCATTCGCCGTACATTCCTGGGCAGTGTGAGTGACTACTGTCTCCATCATTCCGCAATACCAGTGGTAGTGGTACCTCCACATGAAGAACATGCCAAGGCACAAGGAAAAAAAGAATAATTAATCTTCTCATAAATTATAATTATTGCCTCAAACACAATTCATGCCAATCATTTATGTATATTTATTATATCCTCTCGGCTGGTAGGGTAAACCTTGGGAGGGGTGCCGAGGCGAGAAAGCTTTTTCCCATATAAAGTGAGTTCATATTCATAAAGTGCAACAGGATCAAAGAAGATAATATATCAAAACTATTGATATTTTTGTTGTATGTGGTAGGCTGGTAAAATATTATCTGTACTCTGTAATATGATAGAAAATTAAAAGAAATTTCTTATTCTATTTTTGTTTGGTTGATATACCAATTTTCACCTCCCCCCTCCCCTTAGTAGTTATTATTTTCCCCATGTTTTTCTATTTTATCAGATTTCATGTCCCGCATCGCGTGACTCGTAGCATGTACGTGCTGTCTGTCATATTCAAACACGTGTGACTAGTGTCACGGACTAATATATATATCCCGCTGGCAGGCTTGTCGCTTGCTATCGATCAAATAAGAGTTTAGTACGTTTGCTTTTTTCAAAGCATTTCTAACTGACTCTAGGTGGGTTAACACTTCTTCGTCATGGCTCAAAGAAAGGTTGTACTTGCAGTTGACGGCAGTCCCTACAGCGATGAAGCATTTAACTGTAAGTGTGGGAATCTTCAAAATATTCTAATTCTGTTATTTCATTTTTGTCGCTTTCAACAATAGAAATCAGTCTAGACGAATGCTAGCTATTACACTAACCTCCTAAAACTACTCAATATTTATGGTTTTAGAATGTAAACATTTTAAAATAGATGGTTTTACATGCTTTATTAGAGTTATATAAGCTTAGATGTATTTTTACATGTATTCCTAAGCCCTAAATTCCAGTAAGCTATCAAAGTTGCATGACGACTACGAGAAAAAAGCTAGAAGGAAGCTGAGCTTCTAGTGGTATAGTCTACAAGCTTGTTATAGAAGTGTCAAGTGTGTACGTATGCACAGATCTAGAGAATAAAACCATCATTTAAAGTTAATTCAGTAAATCATACAAGATCTAGATGTAAATGACGCTTGCAAGTAAGTTTTATATATTATGCAAAAGAAGCGTAAGTTGAGAGAAATTATGTGCATATGTAAATGTATTTTATATTCATTAAGGCGGCTCATAACGCGATCGCATTGCTTTCTTGAAAAGCTGGGAATTGTAAAAAACCTCTTATATTTTACGAAGTATCTTCCAAGAAATTGTAATAATTTTAATGGTTGTCTAAAACGTGACATTAATTTCGATTCATTAAGCAGGTACCTGAGATTGTGGCTCTCTTGTTTATGCCACAAAGATTCTTATTTAAATTTTCCATTAAATTTAAATGAAACAGTGAAAACTGGTATGCTTTTAAAGTCGTTTGAGCTTTAGCCATAAAGAGTAATGCTTTAATCAATAATTTGCAATTAAAACTCATCAACTAATGAGTTTGGGCTAGGTACCAGTGCGGGATCTGGTTACACGAGTATATCCCCCCCAGCAAGGAGGTAACCATAGCAACCAGGCCACAACCCAACGCTGGTACCTGTCACACTGTAAACAGTGGAGATAATACCTACCTATGATAACCAAACCTAACCATAAAGAGGAGGGAGGGAGGGGCAACTTGTAGGATGGCAAGCATGCAAAGATGGCATACAAAGCTACCAGCCAGTCAGTGAACATGCCACCCGCCACATTTAGCTCCATAAAAAGCCAAATATGCCTCATACTTGCTGTGCAGTGTGGAACGGGCTTGTTTTGGTCAAGCCCAATCCCAGTGATTATTCATTATGCAAAATTATGCAACAGTCAACAGTGATATTACATACGGGACCCTATTTGAAGATGTCATGGAAACTATTTTTGAAAGAAGGAAATTTAATAAAAGGGCAAAATTATCAGCAGAAACAATAAAAAATAAAAAAAACACAAACTAGCTAGATACATACATTTTTACATACTAGTAATAATGATGTTGACTTTTTACATATTATTGTCAAAATATCTTATTTATCAGGACCTTCTCGAAAATCACATTTATAAGTGAAGAAGCTTCTTGTTAAAATATGAATGTAAATAAATAAATAAGTACCAAGAGATTATATTCAAGATTTCAATGGCTTGTTTCTGAGCTTTGGTGTGTGCTGTTAGCCTTCAACTTCCAACTTTGGATAGTTGAGTCAATGAGAAACCTGAGCTGTATAAGAATGTTAATTTGGCCCTGATTGTACATGTAAACGCGACTACATAGCTATCATCATTTTCTTGTGGGAATAAAAAGATGTTTAAAGGCTATTGTATTCTGCTGGTTTCTGATTGGCTCTATTACTTAAAGTTGGAATGTATTGTTTTCATTCTACATTTTGATTGGTTCACCCTGTCTCAGTGGCCTCGGTTTTAGAGGTTCAACTGTAAATATCAATTGCCAAAGTTTCATTATTTTAAAATTGTTTTGTTCCTCACCACTGCACTAAATATTGTTTACATTATAATATTTATTTTCAGTCTACTGTGATAATCTACATAAGGCAGGGGATTTGATTCTTGTCATCCATGCCTTTGAAATGCCAACCATGCCTGCTGCACCTTATCCTTGTAAGTATATGTGTATTTTACAATTAATCTTCCATGAGGTTTACTCCACATGCACTATACTTATACACTATGCTATACTATATACAATGGATATATATGTTTTGGAGGGGGGAAAGTGGAAAACCCAAAGAAAAACCCCCAGGACATAGGAGTTAACAACATATCAAACAAACTCAGCTCACATATAATCCAGTCTGAGCCAGGGCTCAAACTCGGACCACTGCATTCAGAGGGAAGCAGTAAGCCACTACACCACCCATGCACAACCATGGTATTGGTGGTTTATAATAATTTTCAAGGGATAACGACATGGTAGCCATGCTGGTAAATAAATCTTTTGTTAAATACCATGACCAGATGATGTGATGTGCAAATACAAACTATATTCAGTTGTTCAGGAGGGGGATTTGAGGGGTCAGAGTAAGTTAAAGGTGTCTCAAGGAATAGACCCCTTGCAGCACATCGATATGCAGCTCAATTTGGAGGACATAATTCTTTTGTTTTGTCCTCCAAATTGAACAGTTTTGACTTCACATGCAAGGGGTCTAATGATTAACTGAACTGCTATTTTGCTCCAGTGGCCTCTCTCTTCCTGGGGAAAAACATCTGATAAAACCCCCTCTTATCTGCCAGCTTCCTCCTCCCACCTGGCCGTCGCAGCAAGGATAATAAATGGATGGTACTTAAATTTCAAAATTGGATTGCACATAGGTTTATTACTCATAGTACGAATATCCTTTTTCTACCTTTGTTTTTTTAATGAACAAAAATTCCTGTGTGACAAATATTAGTTTCAAGTTTCAAACTCAATTCTGTAAAGAGAATAGAGTTGGGAATCACGATAATGCCCTCGCTTTTCACCTCTGGGGACTCAACATTACATGCGAGTACAGTTTGTTAGGTCTTTCCCTTGATTCAAGGGTTTTTCTGTAAGTTATCCAATTTTCTTCCCTCTGCAAAACCAAACCCTAAATTCCAATTCTATCTGTGAGTTAACTGACTATAATCAGCTCAGAATTGAAGTTATTCAGGATATTAATGAAATTTGTCACAGAGTATTTTGTTTCTTAACATGTTTTTGTGATACGATCTTGTTTTCCTACTACAGATGGTTTTGCTTACTATGAGGAGTGGAGTAATCTGGTAAAGAAAGCAGATGAAGAAGCCAATGAAATGTTGAGGGTGATAGGGGAAAAATGTAAGGAACACAGCAAAAAAGATGACAAGGTGAGGATTCTTAACTATTCATCAAAATAAGTCCTAAAAAAAGCATTGTTGCCACCTTAGGCCTATGGCAAACGTCGGACTTTCTATGCACCGAACTTAATTACACCAAAGAATGCCGCCTCATTATCACCTGATATCCATTGTTTTTAATGAGTTTGGTGCATGGAAAGTTCGACGTTTGCCCTAGGCCTTAGGTTTGGTATTCAGTGACCAACAGCTCAAAGGGTGTGGCTGAGATCAGTCACACAGAACGACATGTCGTAACACTGAAACCCGGCACTGAAATAGCTTCCCATTTTTTTCCTGCGCTTTAAACGAGTAACGAGTTTTAGGTACGGCTATGATACGGACGTACACGGTATGACATGATGTCGTAACACTGAAATGGCTTGCTATTGTTTTCGTGCGCCTTTATCAAATAACGAGATTTAGATACGGTTATGGTATGGACATAAAGGATGTACACGGTCGTAACAATGAAATGGCTTGCCATTGTTTTTGCTCGCTTCAGTTTTTAAGGGCGTTCTTTTTGATAAAGAAACTTGTATGTAAAAAAATGTTCTGACAAGTTCTGTTTGTTTCCAGTACAAATTTGAGCTGTACAAGGAAGGTGGAAGAGCTGGAGAGATCATTTGCAATTTCGCCAAAGAAAAAGGAGCCGAATTCATTGTGTTGGGATCTCGTGGCCTGGGCACTATTCGCCGTACATTCCTGGGTAGTGTGAGCGATTACTGCGTGCACAATGCTCACATTCCAGTTGTTGTGGTGCGTTCGACTCCAAAAGACGACGCTGTAGCGGAGCCGGGGAAGAAGGAGTAGCATTACATGAGATGTTGAAGCCTGCCGTAGGATAAGGGACCGTTCCTTTTATACGGGCATGGGGGCCCCTATTAAAAAGATTCATTTTAAAAATAAATGTTCTATCTAGCTAATTATTTTTTGAGGTGGCCCTCCCTTAAATGCCATATTTTTTGCCTCTCTTTAATCCCACTTGCCCTTCTTCCCCCTCCCCCAATGCCTGTAAAAATATGAACGCTAGAGTTCTATTGCGAGTATTCTCTGAGCCCATATTCGCGTATAGTTTCTATTGGCTTTGAGAAATTGTATTGTATAGTCCGTTTAGGGTAGAATCTAGACATTTGATGACATTTGATTTCTCAGTAGGAATATGCGTTAAAGTCCAGGGCCCGGTTGTACGAAGGGTGGATAGCGCTATATCCAACAGATAAATCTTCTCCAGTGGTAATTTTATTGGATAACATGCAGCATCGACTTATATCTAGGAGGAGGATTTATCCATCGGATAGCGCTTTCCACCCTTCGTACAACCGTACCCAGAGCAATACTGCTATTAGTTTTAGTTTCAATGACAGTGAGAGCAAATTTTAATAAGAAACGATATTTTTTTGTTGGCAGTTTCGACAGTCACCACACTCGGTGGGTTTGCCCTTGTATTGGCATAGAGTCTCCGCACTAAACCATTAATTCTACTAACCAATACGATTAAAACATTCTATTGATCTGTCTGAGTTTTCTTGCGTTCTTTTCTTTCTGGTTCCATTACGTAGGAGTGGGATGAAAAGAGAGGAAAGAAAGGCTTGTTAAGCGTACGAAAGAGTGGGCGAGTATGCCATCTTATCGCTTACAAATTAGATCTGTTAACAATGGAATTTCTTCTGCTTCAAAGCAGCACTCCGAGAGCCGGACATTATGTGAGATAAAAAGAATTTTGTTCCTTCCAAATGCAGACATTTCTTTAGTAAGTGTTGCAAGCATTAAACTTATTTCAGCGCATATTTATTAAGTAAAGCTGCTTTTTCAGATTGCTGTAGTTTCTCGTTCAAGTAATTATTTTCTACGTTTATGAAATGTGTTTTTGTCACTGGGTAAAGATGTATATGTTAAGTTTATGCTACATCGAGTGTATAAGCAGATTATAAAATCTGCTTATACACTCGATGTAGCATACACTTAACATATAATTTCTATTGTTCATCATACACTAACAAAATTGTACAAATTATTGCAAAGCCTTTCGTAGGTCTACGGTTTACTGAACTTACTAATTTGTGCAAATTTGTGCAATTTATTACAAAGAATGATGATGAGCTTCAAACTACGGGACATGCAGTTCCTCATGATCACCATACTCGCACTTGCGAACTTAGCCATAGCATATAGGAACGCAAACTTGTGCCCTTCTGAACCGAAGACAAGTGAGATCTGGATAAACTTTGTCAAAAGGGAAAAAATGCATTCAAATTTAATCGATACCCAGAACCATCACTAGGCTGATCGAAGCTAGTCAGGATACGGCTATCTAACTCACAGATCGAAGTGGAATTTGAACGTGTGTTAGGTTTTACAGAGGGAGGAAAACTGGTGAACCCGGAAAACCCTCAAATCGATTGAGAAACCAAACAACTTTACTCACTCGTGATGCCAAGTCCAGGAATCGAACCCGAGGCCTCAACAGTGAGAGGTTGGTTCCCTCCCTCCAAATTGTTGTCGCGGCTTTTTGTTTTCCAAAGTTCAGGGAGTATTGCTTAATTACGCCACTATGGTAACAAACTTTCACATTTCGTCACACATTTCTCGATCAAATGACCGAAAGAACATGGAAAAACTCTAAAGTTGAAAAACGGTTCTGATACAAGGGATTTAGCTTTACTAAAACGTTTGAAGCGCAGACGGAAGTTTTTGGGAATCAAATTGAGATCACTGCTAAACGCACGGGAAAACAAATGGCAAGTGAGCAACGGGGGTAGTCAAATCAAAAACCGAAAATTTGAAAATCGAAACTAAGTTTAACGAGTTTGTTTATTCCCCTATTAATGCTTTTAGCAGAAGTTGAAACTTACTTTCTTCCGTATAGTTATATTTACATTTTTACTAGCTTCCAACAACAACTTTGATATATAGTCTGCAAAAACTATATTATCAAAAGTTTCTCTTAGGGATAATAAATAACAAGGGAAATGATAAATAGTTGACAAAAAAGTTAGGATAAGGTATACAGATAAATTATAGTTTTATTGGGGATAGTCGGTGAAAATACATTTGCACTGAGGAATAATGGTCTTGATACGTTTAGAGACAAGGAAAATTATTTGGACTATAAAGGAAAACTGTACCTCCTTTTCCCCACCCCACAAGAAAGACAAGAAAGACTTCTTCTGCGAGCTCTGCAATTCACCTGTCAATAAAATCAACAAGTTCATATCCGAACTTAAAATCAAACTAGAAAAAGAGTCTATTTGTTCTTTTTCTTTTTTCTTTCTAATAACAGAGACACACAAACAATTAGGTGAAATTTTATTCAAGTTTCAAGCAATTTAACGTCAAAAGGTGTTACACGACTATTTTTTGACGTTCTACGTTTTAAGAAAACATCAAAATATCATATTCTAAATATATTTGAATATTTTATCTTTGAAAGAAGAAATCACTGTAAAAACGCTAAATTATTGCAGCTTGCGTTTCTGTCTTATCTATATTAAAACCTCTAAGTGTTTATATTTTCAGCAGATGTTTTAAGAGGCATTTTCTTGCTAATATTTCATTATAGAGCCAAGACCGTGGCCTTATTCTCAGTTCTGTTTGTTTTGTAATCATTGCTAGCTATCAACCAATCAGAATCAACCTAGTTTATGCTGAACAATAACTAAAAATCATTCTAATTTATTCGCCCGAGACGACTCGAACACAAAGAGCATTTTCATCGCCCGAGCAATTTCGTTTGTGAGCACGACTTTTGGGTAAATATTCTTCGTGAACGTTACCTTGAAATCGGTAAGAAAAACAGGGTTATTTTCCTCCTTTTTCTCGGTGAAAAATAAATACTGTCTTACTGTTTTTTCTTCGGTACCTGTGTGTTGCTTTATATAGAATTTCCAATTCATAAATTACGCTCATTCGAGCGACTAAATGTTTTACGACTAAATTTTTTGTGTTTTATTTTCCAGGCTTAGTTGATTAAAACGCGAGTACAAAAAATATCATCTGCGAAGGACTGAAGGGCGAAATGATGATTGCTGCCAAGAAAACTAGCGTATCGTCTAAACCTAAAAATCCATGGCCACTACCGAGTCTGAGACTTGTTTTGGTCTGTGTATCTCTTGCTATAACAGTGGTCACTTGCGCTCTTATAATATTCGTTGATGTCAGCGCTCCGAGTCTTGACAATATTTTCCTTTCCACTATGTACTTTCCCCTTGGACAGGAAATACAGCCTAAAATTCGAAGATGGTCGTCCAATAAGACGGAATGTCTGTATTACTTTAAAGCTAAGGACGACAGCTTTCTCCAAGCGGATGGCACACAGTGTGGTCAAGCAGTATGGCAAAGCACTGCAAATTTAGAAGAAAAGGACAGATACGTCAAGCGAATTTCAACAAACTATCGTATATTTGAGCACGAACACAGTGCAGAGGGATATTTTAATGAGTATTGGCACGAAAAACTCAAAGACCCTTTACCGACGAGTTTTTACTCTGAGGAAACGGACAGTGCACCAAAAGCCGGTGAAAAGTTCCGAGCGTTTCGCTGGGATCCACTCGCAGTGTCTCATTTAGGTTCGGGTGCCAAAAGCTCGCCTTGGTTCCACAGAGCCACTGTTACTTCGCGCCATATAATTTACATTTTCAGGTAAGACAACAACTAACTCGTATGGATGATCTTAAATTGGAATTAAATCTGCTTGAACTTTACGCATGATAGAATGTTATACCGTCATTGATAATCAATTCGCGATAATATAAAGCATATCGCTGGAACTTAGAAAAAAAAATCCACAAAAGAAAACCTTTAATTTAAAAATCTTTGTATTGTACATTCTAGTGTTTAAAAAAACGACAACTTTTATCTTATTTTTAAAAAAATTACAATTAATCGATGGGTTGTGCAGCAGTAAACAAAAATTTGATATGTGTGTATTATGCGTGTACTTTTTTGTTTTTTAAATCGTACAAATCCCTTAAATTTACATAAGCGATTTTATTTTAGTCAATACAAATTAAGGCTTTATATGGTCGTCAATAATTTTTAAATATTTATTTCTCCATATCAGAAAAGGTAAATAACTATATTAATATTAATCTTTACCGTTCCTTAAACTTTCAAGCCTAACATTATAAATAGGTTAAGAATGACTTATTAATATTAGAATGATATTTATTATAGTCTCTCTTGTTATAGTGTATTAATTTTTTGTCATTGAAGACTAAACTAAAATTTTATATATTTTCTGCCTGTGTTTTTTTCCGGGACTTTGGACCTCGTAACGCGACAGGTGTAAATAACTCGTTTTTTCTCTTCCTTGCAATTTCCGGTTTTTTGTTTGTTTTTCTGGCGTAAAACTACTCAATTAATATCCATCTCCAACGAATCTTCATCAAAACTATCTGTCGCATGTAATAAACTCCTAAAAATGTTCTCCAGAACTGAGATATCAAAAGAGAAATTACTTTACTGAAAATTAAGCACTTTTTATCAAGAAAAAGAGTTTTAAATTCGTTGTGCTTCGAAGCCGGTTTTAGCTGAGAATAAATGACACTCTCTACGAAAAACACGACCAAGTGCTTGTTCATTTACTTAATCTTAACTTACAATTTATTGGAGTAATATTTACGACTGAAGTTTCCATAAGCCAAGACAGTGTATAGAATCGAGTCTACTAAATGAAATGAATAAGTAAATGTGATTGAATTTGATATTTTGGCGGACTTTTCTGGTTCAGACAGTATTTCTTTGTTGGGTTGAATTCTTGGTTCAACTGTGCACCGTGAATCCTAGGAACATTACAAATATATGCACGCTGAATGCAACAGCAATAGGACATTTGCATGATGGCGTCAATGACCTCTTCTACTGACCAGACTCCCTTGTACACTTTTGTTTATTAGCACCAATTGTTTTACTAATCGTGTAAGAGAATACAAATTTATATGAAAAGAAAGAAAATTTTCGAAGCATTATAGTAGTGGAGTCAAATGACGCCATCATGCAAACGTCCTGTTTAGGCAGATGGCTTCCACCCTCTCGGCTGCCAGGGTGGAAGAGACGTCATCTTAACAAAAGGGGGTGCTCGAATGATGGGATGTTGATGTTCCACATTTATTGCTATACGTTATATCAATTTATCACGTTATTTGTTATTTCAATGATTTGGTTTTAAGAGCCGAGGAGAAGACTGAAAGATTTGTTTGTTAGGTTCAATCCTCGAACCCGTCCTCATGAATATCTAAGCAGGGTTCCACGTTTTTTATCTGACGGAAAGTCTTTAAGTATACTGCTACACTTCAGTAAGTGGTCCACCTATACCGCCCAACTTACAATTAACAGTCTGGAAATCAAGCTTGTTTATATTGAATCATTCATTAATTCTATATGGCTATAAAATTTTATTTTTAATTAAGGCCCCATCAAATGATGAATTTGGAATTTAAAGTGTATGGCCCATTATTAAATAGACCGTGTGGGATAGACAAAGCGGGATCGTCACTGGACATCGAAATTCTGGGGAGTAGTTCCCTGGTTTTTTAAATTAAGGAAGGAAAAGAAACGAAAAAAAGGACGAACATAATTAATGATGACGAAAATCATTTTTAAAACGAAATCCGTTGTTATTTATTTACCCCGGCTAAGTGAAAAAAAACTTTCTCACATTATTATGCTTTTTGCAATATCCAAACTTGAAACAGGGATTTCACAGTTAATGTTGACGAGAAGCACTTAATTGGCTTCACACATTTTAATAGCTTCCTGAGAATATTCTGTTCGATATTCCCTTCGTGAATTACATAAACCAATCAGAGTGAAGCATGTCATCGACCATTAAAAGGCTTCAATAACCTTAGAAAATCATTATTTGACACCACATCAAGTTTTAAAAATACAATTCTTGTCGAGAGGAAACAGCGTTTCTGAAGTTGTTTGTTTGTCTTTGGATGTGAAATTTGGAAGACACTGATCACAGCCGAGGGACCATTATCTCTTGTCACAGCACATTAAACAAATTTCACTAGTATATCTGAGTTCTTTAAGTGCATTTAGAAAACTTTGCAGTATTGCATTTGGATCGCTCCGTCGTCTAGTGAAAAAAAGCACTAAGCTTCACTTTAAAAGCTGACAACCTTAAAAGATTCGAATGAAAATACTTGAAACATTATCAATTCGTTCTCTTGAGTATTTCTACTCGTTCCTTTAGTTTGCTTCTATTCATAGCATTAACTTCGAAAAATAAAATATCTAGATAGGTGTAGAGATRATATCAAAGCGAATCCAGATAATCAACACCTGCTAARACTTCAAGAACAATTTGTATTTCTACTCGTTCCTTTAGTTTGCTACTATTCATAGCATTAACTTCGAAAAATAAAATATCTAGATAGGTGTAGAGATGATATCAAAGCGAATCCAGATAATCAACACCTGCTAAAACTTCAAGAACAATTTGATGCGATGGAGTCTCATGCTAAAACAGGGATCGGGAGGGGGAAGGGAGGTGAAAGTTGTGAAATTGTGGATAAAAATTATCATATGTTTTTGTATAGATTAACTAGCAAATGAAAATGATTAACAGCAAAAGAACCAAGTCCTGCAATCTGATTGGTTCAAAGGAGTGCGATTAATTCCCAAATCGCATCCTTTTGAGCTCTTAAGCGCATCTTTTTGAAAGAACCAATCACAGAACAGAATTCTTATATTCGGCCAATCAGAGAACAGAATAAAACAAGCCTTTTCAACACATTTGCAATGAAAGTGCTTTTCTTTATGAATTGGGACATTTTCACACTTTTAGATAGATTTTATAACAAAAAAGCAAAAAAATTGTATTTTTCATGTAGTTATGTAGTCATGTGTATGATTACAAAAAGGATATGATTAAGTGGTAACTGAACTTCGTGTCGTGCAATTTTGGACCAAAATCATACTTGTGCTTAAAAGCTACGCGGTCGTGCAATTTTGTAATCACTCGTATGATTTTGGTCCAAATTGCACTCCACTCAGTTCAGTTACTATCATTAATTATAGATACTCTCATAAACTAATCAGAGGGTGCGTTTACGGCTCTTTCCTCTTTTGATAGTCGATTAGAAAAGTCCTTAATGATTTCCCATATTTTCTTTCCTCACAGGCAAGGGAAAATATTTGCAAGGCTTCTTGTCCAGGGTTTTAATAACAGCAAAGATCAAAGGCTCGGGGTGGAATTTGCTGGAAGGTAAAAAGCGAGAAAATTAATGATACTATATCTCATTTGATATCATTTCCATCTAAGGAAGTACCTTAACAGCTCTATTTAACGTTAATGACATCCGATCATATCAAAGAACCGTTTTTAAGCATGGGGGCGTTTTAAAATGTTCCCCGTCCCTTCTCTCTGTAGAGCTTTTCAGTTGTGACGTATTTCCGGGTCGAACTTCTCCCAAAAACCCCGAAAAAATAAAATCAGTGAAAAATACTTTCAATTATCTAATCTCCACCTAAAACAATTCGAATTTTGGACAAAAAATCCTGCGCTTAAGAAAAAGCGAGAACAATCTTTATAGAACTACTTTTCTTATTGCACCAGAAGTTGTCTTTCCATATACAATTGATGTCACACTTCAAACCTCTATGTATATCCGCTCAGCTGGTTATCAGATAGTGCTTTTCCTTAATTCAGCCTCAGCAAAATTCACCTTCTTTCGCGTTAAAAGCACTGTTAAGGCAAATATAGGCGAAAAAAGTAGCTTCGGGATGTGTCGCCGTTATTTCATGAATCCGACTAAGCATTCATGCAATGACGTTCTATTAAAATGGTTATTTATTTTGCTCCAATAAAAAAACTTATATACTAGCTTTAAATTGGACCTTTTGCCTCCAAGCTAAGTCCTTTACTTTGTGTCTAATGCTATTTTTACTTCCTATTCCAGTCTTAGCTGGATTCTGATGAGTCTTATCAAGCTTTTAGTGCTGCAAAAAAGTTCTTGAAAATATAACTTCTGATTCGTTTTTATCAAAAGGCTCTTCACCGCAAGCTTTTACTATTACTTCAGCATCCCCGAAATGGAAAAACCGTCAATATCGTTTTTAGCTTATACTTGTTTTTACCCCCCCTCAGGTTGGCAGGTGTAATGGCGGAGCTGATTAAAAAGAACGAGCCGACACCAATCCGCAAGTTCCTTCTTAACGTTCAGTGGGGCGTACGATATTTTATCCGCGCCACCCCCTTACTCTGCGCCCAAAAGTGTATGTCATGCTTCTTTTTCTAGCAAGTTTAGTAAGACTGTGAATAACTCACGGTACGGACGTGTCGTGTCGTGAACGGATGGTGTAAGGTTCGAGTTATTTTATGGAATGATCAGAGATCTCGCACACTGTGCAATGTCGATAATTCCCATAACCGTGCCTCGTATCTAGCCTTGTCGTGTCGCTTCACATGCAATAGATTGAAATCTGCTTTGCTCGAGTATCTTACCTGAGTTTGAATTCCAAACGTCCTGTCGAATTTTGTCCTCATTCAATTATATTTCCACTTTCATTCTTTAACATTGAATTTTCCTGTCTCTCTTAGTATCCACGGCGCTGTCCATCCTTTCTCACTGGACCACAAAACTGCTCAACTGTACTTGGTCCTCCCTGCGTATTTCCATGGCAACGCAGGCGTACTCGTTCTGGAGACACCTTACTGGTAAGTTTTTCAATCCCCATGGCAACATGAACAGGAATGACTAAGCCTTGTAGGATAATACAATACAGAACTTACTGAATCTTCAAATAAGTATTTAAAGACCAATATAAGTTTTATTGAACCCTGAAAAAACCTCTAGGCTCATTTAACAGTGCATGGCCAACTCACAGTTCAAACCCGATCAAACTCTCAACCTCTGGGCTGATCAACGTCAGGGGGGGTACTTGCATATATTTTCTATACAGGTATGTGCCACTAGATCGGGTATTGTTTTTAGCCTTGCTGTCATACACAGGGTATGCATTTTACCGGAAATAGAGAGAGGAAAAATCGTAAGATCAGAGAGAACTGAGAACAACTATCAAATCAAAGAGCGTGAAACACAAAAAATATTTGGTAAATCTTTTCTAAATCCTATACCTCTTTTGCTAAAGAGCTGTTGTGTGCTGAGTCTGAATCCTGGAACAATGAAAATATTGAGCTGCGGAAAAAAATATTAATTTATTAGCTAAATATTCACTCAAGCCAAGCAGGACTTGATTCGTTGGCTTCTGCTTGACTTCTAAAATTTCATTCCTGTTCCTTCAGAAAATAATCGATACTAAATTTAAAACGCTTTTAGCACTCAGACTGTTTTTGATAGTGGTGCGCAGATGCTGTCAGATTCAATGAAACGGCCAATAATCAACTACTTCCTTTCATGACATTTCAATTCTACACTGACAGATTTATATAGGTTCTTTCATTTGCTCAGTCTGTCGCTGATTTTCAATCAGTTCTAGGCTGCAAGCTGTCGTAATTTTGACCTGTGATTACTTTGCCGGCTTGTGATATGAAACTGAAATGTCAAAGAATCGGTGATAGCAGCTTAACAACATTTTAAGCTTTCTTTGATGAATGTGTTTGTAGTGTGTATTTTCTTATCAAGCTTTAGCATAGAGCACCTGTCACAATGCAAAATAATTATAAACGACAGAAAATGAAACCCTAATTTCTTTGTTAATTTTTAAATATATTTGATAAAACAGCAAAATAAGACACGCGTTTTTTTTTTTTTGGCCTGATGGCTTTGAAAATGATATTACGATGTATTCAGCTTGCTTTAGTAATGACTTAGGAGGTCAAGTAAATTGAAATAAAAAATGTGATCTATTTTTAATGGTTTCTATGTTTTTCTTTGTTTTTTGTTTTTAGGTTCTGGTCTCAGTGATCTCCATTTTGTAGGTGTTGCTATCTTATTACTGACACTTCACAAGCTGCACACTGTTCTCTCGGTGAGTATTCTCATTGTGAGTGAATGGAATCAATAAAAAATAAAAACAAATTGATTATTGGTGGGATGGAGACGTGTCGGGATGGATAGACCGTGGGATGGATCAGTGGGAGTGGATAAAAGGTTGACTGGGATTGAATGATGAAAGTATGCATAGATCAGTATAGGATGGATRGATATGGATGGAAGGATCGATGGATGGATGGGTGGCAATGATTGTAACTCTGTTGAAGATATGGGTAAATAAATGAATATTAGATTATATACTTTTCTTTATGATATCCATCACTGATTGCATGTTTTTCATTCAGCCGTACGACCAAATGGACTTTTCTCAAGTTCGTTGTCAGAGTATGTTAATGACAGCGATAGAGAGAGCACGTCGACAGAATCTTCTTAACCAAGATTTGTTTCTGCAAGCAAATTGAAGTAAGTTAAGTCATATTAGAAAAAGTGCGCGAAATTCTAATGAACACCTAAGAAAAAAACACAATCCAAACAAAGTGAAAGCCAGAGGTCTTAGTCAAATTCTGTAAGCGCCAAAGCTACTGACACAAAGTGCAAAAATGCGCGCAATATTGCAGGCAATGTTGGTGAAGCAGAATCGTTTTCGTTTTAAGCAACATTGCGTGCAACAAATCGCGTCATGTGATATGTCAACATTGTTTGCAACGTTGCACCGTGTGTACGTAGCTTAGTTTCTATGTTTTCTGGTACGCATGCTCTGCATTCAAGGTAGAAACTGATGAAAAAATTAGTTTAGTTCGGACTCTTGGTTCTTGTACATTTTGTACAGTGTTATATTTTTCATATCTTATTGGGATGATACAAATGTAAAACACTGTTTATCCAAAATAGTATAATATCTATTTCACTGAATTAGAGACCTCTATATATACTATACTTTGCGATTTGACTTCTCGAGTCCTCTCCAAATCCTATAATCTCGTAAAATGAAAGTCAACTTGACCTCATCTATCCCTAATAAGACTAATTCTACATTCTTTTTTTTACAGATTTTAATCTTCTGCAAGTGATATTATAAACGAGGTTGCAGCCGAAAAGCAACATTTACAAGCAAAGAGCAATGAATAATATAAAACGATTAGCTCCATAATTTTATCCAGATTGAAATAATATATTATTAATACCGTTATTATTATCTGATAATTTATTGACAAATAAATTATTTATGACCACGAAGGTCTAAAACATAAAACCGACTGTGCATTTATTGACGTTTCTTTTAGTTTGAACATCATGATTTTGGATCGATATCACCATAATTTTTGAAAATCGAAAACTTTAGTTGGAAGCCAGCAAAGGAAACGAAAGAATTAAATCTTTCTTTTTCCAGGGTAATCTCTTTAGTGACCTTCGGGATAGTGTTGCCAATGAAAACCCTGCAGGGCTTAAATAAATCTTATCCAGTGCATAAATGTATTGGATAACAGCATCGATTTATCTACTGGGTAAGGAGTCATCCGTTGGATAGCGCTATTCATCCTTTGTTCAACCGTGCCAAGAAGGCTAGCCCCCTCCTAGTTAAATAATGACCGGTCCCAAAGTGTGTTGTTGCAAGCGGTGACATTTTTGGTCAGGTTTTCACAAATAAAGAGGACGTAAACAAGAAGTACTTGTAATTTTCATTGGGAAAAAAAAATTAAAAAATCAAGAGAAAATATCTCTTGAAAAAAAGATTCTTAGTACAGAATTAATGTCGTTTAGCAAAAAGCCGCTTTTAATAACAACTTTTTATGCTAAGGATCGATTAGAGATTCATACAGATCGTCCTTAAAATACGTTTAACTCAATATGTATTTAGTTTTGTATTTCGATTTTTTCCCATGAAACTTTTCAAAGCCATTCTTTGGGCTGCCTGTGGACAGGGCAGTATTTTAAAAGTCAGTTGGGTTGCCTGTGCATGTTTACCCATCATCCCTTGCCATCCTCATTGATCACGTGGGACAAGCGCGGGATGAGAGATGTGCATGATAGAATCGGAGACGGTTGTGTGGAAGAATGTTGGTAAAAAAAACTGCTTTTTTATCGTAAGTATAGCTCTTAAACATTACTTTATCATCAGATTACCTTAAAAATGATTCCTTTTTGTATTTTTGTGAGCACTTTCAATTAAAATTTTTGTCATGATTCGTTTCTATAAAGTTTAATATGTCCGAGTGGGACATCCATTTATACTTACAAGCTCTGTATATTAAAATATCCGTATTTATTCAGCATCTAAAATATAATTTTTTACTTTGAAAGATAAGTCAACTTTGTGTCACACTAATTCTTCAAGATGTGAGGAAAACTGTTCTTGATTGACGCCCTACTTTTTTATTTGGCTGTTCCATATCAACTGGAATACCTACAGATATTTGTTCACGCCATACTTTACTTTTGCTGGCCTCGAGGTCTTCTGCCTCATTGGGCTATTCCATTTTAACTGAGATACCTATAGATATTTGTTCACGCCATACTTAGCTTTTGCTGGCCTAGAGGTCTTCTGCCTCATTGGGCTATTCCATTTTGACTGAAATACCTACAGATATTTCTTCATGCCATACTTTGCATTTGCTTGCCTTGAGGTCTTCCTCCTCGTTGGCCATTCCATATCAACTGGAATACCTACAGATATTTCTTCACGTCATACTTTTGCTTGTCTCGAGGTTTTCTGCATCATCGGGCCATTCCAACCTTGGTGAGGGTTGCCAGTTGTTCTCTGATGATAAATGTGACCTTTAAAAATACCTTTACATCTGCCTGTTATAAGTCTTTGGGGATGCAATCTTTTTTCAATTCAAACTCCATACTTTTCTTGCATGGTTGTGATCAGCATGACCAAGGGTGAAAGTCCCATCTCGCTGAATTACTGATGCATTGCATGTGTTTAGTTTTGGGCAGTGCACTTCCAGTAGGTCACATACGACCTTATTCAAGAAACAGTATATGAAAAACCATGGCTGTCAAACAGCTTCTCCTTCCTTCTCTTGCTTCCTTCTGCAACCACTTGAAAAGTGATTGGTGAAATATTGATGATATTGTGGCTACTGGTTCTGGTGCAGGGTCAAGTATAGAGGATTCATCAAAAATAATAAAAATAATATTAATGATAATAGTAATAATAATAGTAGTAATAATAATAATGATAATAATAATAATAGCTCTTTATTTATTAAAAAGACAAACGTCCTTAATTACAAATAGACTAACTAAACTAATTATACATGTAAAAAGTATGCTAAAATGTAAGTAATGATACAGCTAAAATAAATTATTAAATACTTATCTAAAAAGGCATTTATTAAGGAAAACTTTCTTAAATAATCAGGATGTATTTTGCCTCGTCTTTGGTTTTCTTGCTTGTCTTGATGTGGAGTGTTTGTCGTGGTTGTAGGAAGAAGCTTTATAATTTCTTCACATTTCGAAAACTTTTGTTTCTATGTATATGTGTGACAATTCATTGTCTCAATCATTACAAGTGTTCAATCAATCATTCAATCACTTTATTTCCTACCAGTTTTACAGGCTAAAATATATAATGATATAAATTATTGAAAACATTTATTGAAAACAGAAAATTTTGTAGATGCTAACTGTAATAGCCAGGGTTTAGACATGACAGCTAGCTTTTTATTTCATTTACAATACATAAGTCAGGAGGGAATCATAAATGGACTGGTGTTAGAGTGGTTAGGTTCACCAAGTAACAGCATATCTGTTAGGCATTGCTTTCATATTCCTCCTACAAAGCGGCATTCGCCCTCTTCTTGGCACCTGTAATTGTGTCCATTTTTTTTTTACCTTTTTACTAGCATTGCACTTGCCAGATCCTGATAACCTTCGCTTTTTAAATAGCCTGTCACTGTTTGCGACATACTGCCAAGCACTTGAATAGTTATGATGTGCACTTGTGTAGTGAACTATGATTCAAAATTGATCTTTTAAAATTGTTTGAATTATTTCATGGCTGCACTTTTCTTAGCTTTAATGCTATGTGATAGCATTTTCCTGATTTTTGGATATGGTCCTCTAGGCGGCAACACTAATGAACGACATGAGCACCACCATGCATGAACAATATTGCTAATGTATAAGTAAAATCTTGCCTTGATGGAAATTTGTGCAATTTCACTTGGCTGTGTGTCATTAGATGCACAGACCTCATTTCACTCGATAATAATTCAAAGTGACTTAACATCCTTAGATGTGTGCCTCATAATCTCATCAATGGAGAGGGTTTCCTCAAAAAATAAGTTTTTGCAATACTTTTTCATGACTACTATAAACTACTATTATGCCAGTCATTTCGAGACACAGTCGTTTTGAGACAGGTCATTTCGAGCCATTAAGATAAAAGTTCGAGACAGGCATATACCGTTTGGATACACCTCATATACCGTTCAATATATATCATATATAGAGGATATCACAGGTTCAAAACGAGCTTATTAAGATAAGTATTCATTGCTATGTTGAGATATAAGGATACCAGACCAAATTTACCGAGTTTTCCATAAATTATTGACTTAAAAACACGTCGACTCATCAAACTACCAGATCTTAATCAGAACTCTATGATTTTTTCCAAAATCTTTAATCAGAAACTCACATCTTCTGAACTTTATGAAGAATTCTTAGATAAATATGAAAGGGGATTCAAGTTTAGAGAGAAACACACAAACGACTTGCTCAAAAACTTTAGACGTGGACGAGATGTTGTTTTGACTCGACAACAAGAATGTTCGACTCCTCAAACTACCAGATCTTAATCAGAACTCTATGATTTTTTGTACATTGGTGTATAGTGCATCTAAAATCTTTATTATTATTATTAAGGTAAAAGCATATGAAAACCATGTCAAAGAGCTTATTTTAAGAATAAAATAATTAATATTAAAAATGATACTAAAGAACTGTGGAAAACTATCAATTTAATCATTAAGATTAATTCAAAAGTAACTAGAAGTCCTGAGAAATTAATTGTTGATGGTAACGAATTGACTAACAATTATGACATAGCAAATGTGTAATAACTATTAACTAATATAACTATTTTAGGGATGTTAGCCCAAATCTTGCAAAGCTCATCAATAAGAAAACCTGATTCATTTCTTGAATTTCTTTTACCTTCATCATCCGGTGACAGCTTTTTCATTGATCCTACTAGTCCTCAAGAGGTGAGCAACCTGATCGCCTCATTAAATCCATATAAAGCTTCTGGTCCTTCAGGAATTCCATTAAGTCTACTGAAACTTGCTAATCCTTACATATGTAAACCGTTAAGTAATATATTTAACCAATCTTTCTCATCAGGTATTTTTCCTGATAAATTAAAACTTACAAAAATTATTCCTTTGCATTAAGGTGATTCAGCCTATGAATTATCTAATTACTGACCAATTTCATTACTGTCCCCATTCTCCAAATTATTGGAGAAACTGATGAACATAAGGCTTGTTTCATTTCTGAACAAAAACAAACTTCTTTACAAATATCAATTTGGGTTTAGAAAACAAGTGTCAAATTGAGCTTATGGGCTACCTGAGTCCTAACACTTCTCCAAATATTTTTAGAACGACATATAAAAGTAAAAAGCGGCTACGAGTCAAAGTTTCAAAGAACAAAGCATTTCTTGGGAAGTGGCTACGCATCTACGCGTGGCAACGCGTCAGAATTCAGTAGTGGGTTTTCTGTGCTTAAGTGTCTGTAAAGAAATCAAAGTTTCAAAGAACGAAGCATTTCTTGGGAAGTGGCCACGCGTTTACGCGTGGCTACGCGTCAGAATTCAGAAGTGGGTTGCCTGTGCTTAAGTGTCTAAAGAAATCAGAGTTTCAAAGAACGAAGCATTTCTTGGGAAGCGGCTACGCGTTCAGAAGTGGGTTGCCTGTGCCTTACAGCTAAAAAGAAAGGAGATATGCTATGTGGCAATGACTTTGTTTAAAAGAATTAAAGGTAATTAATTCTAATTAATTTAATTAATTAAGAATAATGATTCTTGATAGCAAATTTATTACTTAATTCTGTGATTAAAAATGTAAATTGAGAAATTGAAATGTTATTGGAAATGTTTGTGTTGGATATAAGTACGATAAGAGACATAAGGAATTGGGATCGTAAACCTAAAGTTTATGAACTATATACAGGTTTATTTATAAATAAGTTAACTCGATTGTAATTCACTGACTTTGTAAATTTTCATCTAAAACTTCATTC